GAAAGAAAAAGAAAGAAAGAAAGAAAGAAAGAAAGAAGAAAGAAAGAAAGAAAGAAAGAAAAAGAAAGAAAGAAAGTATATATATATATAAACAAAAAAGAAATAAAATCGCAGAAAAAAGCGACAAATTATATTGTGATTACTTTACCCAATATAAAAATTCCACAGTATGGCATTTATATACACTACATGGATATACCGGAGAGAGAGGTAGTGTATTTTCAGAAACATCTGTGGAAAAATATGTTCGTTCCCAACATTTTCCATGGAGGAATAGACCGCACACGTGGGGTTTTACATTCAACTGTATTGGATATTTAGACGTTTCTTGCAGCCGAGGCACTGTGTATGGAATGGCAATAAAACTTAAAAACTGACCAAAATTTATGCTTTTGAATACAGGTGCACAGCTTACCTTGGATATCAAAATTAGCTAACTTCTAAGGATGATTTTTCTCCGTTGACAGCATCAAAAGTAGATTTTAGATCAAGGAATGCAAATTTATATACTCTGCAAAACAGTGCTGCCTACTGCACCTTGGAAGAGTTTCATACAGGTTAAGGGAACCTAGCAACAGGATGCACGAACTTGTTGAGAACCATTCTCTCGAGGACTGCGCTGAAAGCTTGTATGGTTTAAGCGCAATGCCCAGTCGGATAGAATTTCCGAAAATTTTGGCTGAAGTTTTATCCTTTGTCGAGAGAGTAAATTCATTTTTTTTTTAGAAGTTCTATTTCACTGATCTATTAACATATTACCTGATATAAGTAGGCTGTGGAGCGGCAGTGTGGTGAGAGATTTGTCCATTTTTTTTTCATCCCTCAACTACATTTGATGCATAAATTGTCCCCAGTGTTGATATTTTGTTTGCTTTGAAGGATACGATTGCCAACGATTATGTGGCGTTCTGTTGTCCCAGTCGAGGAACGTAGACTGGGTCTTTGGCGATAACCAAGGTCTTGACTTCATTCACGTTCCTTAGATCGAACAGGATCATCAGTCGCGTTGACACGTAAGGTGACAGCACACTTTTTCCATTGCAAGTTGTCCTGAATAGACCTAGGTAGTGTAGTTGCCTGGGACAACCTTTAAGATTTTATTTTTCAACCGTGGTGTATCAGCGCTAAACCAGTGCTTTGAAGTGAAGTTCAGAACGTGCTGTGAGAGGGATTGTAAGTCTAAGTAATTTAGCGTTATGTTGCTGTCGCAACATGAAACCCTAAACTTATGTAATACAGACATATTGCCATGTACGATATTTCTCAGACAAGTAATCTAATCTGCCACCAGCCAAGAGAGGCAGAACGGCGTCTTCTTTATTTTGTTCTAATTGCCTTTAATATTAATTGTGAGAATGTTTCTCCGACAGGTATTATACTAAATGTGGTATGGATGAATACTCTTTTTTCGAATTCAGTTTTCGCAGTTTAGGAGCACCGAAAATCATCCTTATAGCTTCGATCTATGCAATTTTCGACTGGCTAATTATCATTCATGTATTAATGATAGTGTAAATCATGAAAATCTACGCCTCACCATTAATCATGCTACGATTTTTTCCTTTAGCTTACTCATTCATTCACCATCCTGGCAAACTGCACAGACGTGAGCAAGTTTTGATAAATTCGATGCATGGTCACAGCACTGTTTAATATTACATTGAAAATTTTGGGCTAAACATCAATACAAACTCTATTACATCAGTGAAAAGGAAATAACTACGTTATCCACTTATCTACTAACACATCAGATTATATTAATTCTGCGTACCTCATGCTAGGTGGCCTGAAAGTTTGTACCACATGGCACTCTGCGATATAATGGACAAGTTTTTGGTTATATTCTTCATTACAAAGTTTACACTTCGACATTACAAACTGCACCGACCTGCTAATACAACCTAAAGCTAAACCTGATTCATGGGGTTACATCACAGTCATCCTGTTTTATATAAACCATAAATGATTCAATCTTGCTAAAAATAGTGGTCTATGTTCCAGCTTTCAGGCCGTTAAAAATTAATCAGCTCAGTCAAGTCATCTTTGAAGATGGTTCTAATGATGTGTGATATCTTAACAAGATCTATATCTACGCTTTGCTTATCATAAGCTGGTCTCGCTAACATGATCATGCCTACGGATTCCAACATGCGATAACATCTACATATATATATCATGGTCTTGTTCATTTTGCGGGATATACGTTTATTTTGATGGCATTTATGTTTACATTTTACTTACAGCCATAACTTTTAGTATGGACTGGTGTTGACATTAAAAGTCTAGCAATACTGACGCTGATACCATGGTCTTCGTCAACAAGTGTTCAAAGTGGCTTCAACTGCTCATGGTCTTTTCTCTAGTTTTTTTTAAATTTTATTTTTAACTCTGCACCATTGCTAGTCACCCCGAGGTATATGTATTGATGGCAAAGATCTAGGTCGCTGTCATTTATATGAAACCTTGGCAGAGGGATTATCAGTGGGTTACTGCCTTGTCT